AGTGTCATTTATTTTTGCTATTCTTTATCAGTGTGGATGTGATTGTCCAGAGATGTGGTGGTGGTTTTGGCGGAAAGGCATTAAGATCGGTTCAAGTAGCTTGTGCAAGTGCATTGGCCGCTAAGATACTAGACCGGTAAGTCCTGTAATTCATCACCAAGAAAATTCATAGCAAATTCTAATAAACCTATCTACTTTCAGACCTGTGAAGATGAAAGTGAATTTTAATACCAACATGGCTAACCAGGGTGGAAGGTCACCACATATGGCGAAGTACAAGGTATTTTATCTCTATTGTGGCAGTCAATAACTACAAATAAGTATCATTCAAACACATGAAGCGCTGATTTTCTCTCCTTTCATTTGGACATATCATTTCCTGTCTGATAGGCTGCAGTGAATGACGAGGGAATCCTACAAGGTCTGGAGATGGACTACTACGTCGACACTGGCTGTACAGGAGAAGATAACGATCTTTTGGGCGCCGTAGACCACCTTGATAATTGTATGTCTAATTGTTTTTCTTCCCATTTTATTTCTTTCTGTTTTATTTCTCAATTGTCTCTCTATCTATTTGAGTAGTTCTATATGTCATATCAGTTCTGAATGTGTATCTAACAATATTACTTTGATCAGTGTACTACTGTCCAAACTGGAAAGTTAACTTYCACACCTTGCTGACTAGCAAATCCTGTACAACGTTCTGCAGGGCACCAGGTCAGTACAGAACAGCAACTCTTCAAACTTTGATTGTAAAACTGATTATTAATAAATGTTTGCTTCCAGGCTCTGTACAAGCTGTTTTTATTATGGAATCTATCATGGATCATGTGGCCAAAGCACTCAACAAATCTCCAGAAGAAATCAGAGAAAAGAACTTGTATGAGGAAGGTCAGGTAGGAAGGGTTTGGTCAATGAATAATTCAATCAATTAAGGGATCATACTGAAAGGGGTTTGATTCATCCATGCTCCATCATTCAATCAGTCAAATTATTAGTAATTCAATGATTTCTCTTTTTTATGTAGAATACTCCAGGTGGTCACCCGATTCCATACTGCAGCATCCGAAAACTGTGGAAAGGTAAAGATKTAAGATCTTTTTAATGGTTGTATGGCCTGTTTTTCGTGTGAAGTTGCGYCGAATAATTCGTGCGAACATCATTATGTAGCGCTTCGTTGGAGCTCACTATGGAGTGACACGTGCTTGTGTTTTGTATTCGTATTTATAATATTGCAATTTGTTGACAGACATCACCGAGACATCAGAGGTCAAAAAGAGACAGCAAGAAATTGCAGAGTTCAATAAGGTGAGTGTTTTGTTTTGAAATTATTCTCTGATTTAAAGTAGTGAAGTGTATTCTCTGATTTTTCAATCAATTTTTTCATTTCGTGAACAACAATTATGATTCTATGATGCAGAAAGCTATTCTGATAAATATGATKATGATATCAATAGCAAGTGTTACCAATAGTTTTGATAATGATATTGATTTCCAGGCCAATCGTTGGAGGAARCGTGGATTGGTTCTTGTTCCTGGTAAATTCAACATCAGTGCATCGATTTCCCAATACACCGTGTTCGTGTCGATCTTCAGTGCYGATGGAACTGTTGCCATCCAACATGGCGGAGTAGAGATGGGACAAGGAATTAATGTAAAGGTATGTTGAGGTTCTGGCTCTGCTTGTGGTGTTCACGTCAAGTAGTTATTATTTCACGGGTTAATACTCTCCTTCAAGGTTACCTGCGCCATCTTGAAAGGTAGCCATGCCTTTGTATCGAAGCGAGACAACCGTTGAGCGTGCAATGATAGAATCCTTCTGTCACAGCTACAGKTATCTATCATTACACCCTCAACGGTTGTCTCGCTTCCATGTGAAGGCACGGCTACCTTTCAAGATGGCGCAGGTAACCGTGAAGTAGACTATTGTTTGTGAAACATCAAATCCAATAATAATCTTGAAGGTTGCTCAAGCTGCTGCCTATGTACTTGGCGTTCCCATGGAGATGATCATTGTGAAGCCAAACCACACCGTTTTTTCACCTAACAGTAAGTACCTGYACATTATACGCTAATCGTGAAGAACAGTGATACTTCTGAGCAGAGATTGCTGGTGACTATCGTGTATGTCCTTTTCTATGACAATCTTATACGAAATGGATCACCAATCATACAACGATTTTATCAAACAACAWTAATTGGTCACAGATGAGTTTGAATGAGCACCAAAACGATCATTGTGTTTTTAAGGTATGGTTACTGGAGGTAGTGTTGGCAGCGAGGTCTGTGTCAAAGGTGTAATGGAGTGCTGCAAGATGCTGAACGAACGTATCAAACCAGTCCGTGAAGCAAGTCCGGGCATTCCCTGGAAACAGCTGATAATGATGTGTGGTTTCCAGAAAGTCGATCTGTCAGCCAAGTACAAGTAAGTACTAGTGATGTGGGATGACGGTAATAATGATAGGTGAACTTACCTGACTCGATCCTTTACTTTATTATTA